CACGAGGTAATAACGTATCGATTGATACTTATTTCTAAAGGTGGTGTGCTCTTTATTAACCGAATAAGTGATACGATAATTATTGTCGCTTGTATTATGCATTACTGGGGTATTTGATGCTGAATAGACCTCTGTGAAAGTTATTGTACTGAGAATTAATATTCAAGCAGCAAAATGTTCTTTGAAGTAGATTGAAGATTCAAATGTATACCAGGAGCGCACTTTCAGTCTCTTACGGGATACGAAGCACTGTGTTTGGTTAGAAAGAAGAATAAAGTGCACATTTAGGATATATGTCGGTTTCTTTCATTTACGGTTCTTCGATATTCTTGCGCAAATAGATATTACTGTCTGTTCACAGCTGTGCAGGGAAACGACGAGAGTAGTAATTATGATTGTGCACCAGTTGTGCAGTGAGTTATGTGCTTTTGTTACGTGTATGCGGTAAGAAATATTTCATGACTGAAATACATTGATATTGTTTCAGTTATATTACTTACAAGAGAAAAAGACTCGGTTTTCTGGGTTTCAATTTTTGAAATATTTTGGGACAGTATTTTGCAGTTCTGCACTTTAAATCGTGTTGTAAAAGCCTAATCATTAAAATGGATGTAATTGTATCTCTCAAAAATGACAATTGTTTTGGAGCAGTGGCTCAACTTGATCTAACGTGTTCTCACTGGAACGTCATTATTTGAAGAATACTTGGAATTTTTTCGGTTTGAAAATTCTATTTCAATTGCTGGTAATAAGTTGGCTAGGTTACTGGCTCATAAAATGTTCTTTTGGCCATGATCCACTTAACCACTCTAAAATCCTGATGCCGCACTCCTGTGACACATATTTTTTGTTTTTCAAAAAGTGGATTTTTACATGGAGTAAGGCCATTAATTTGGACCAAATAAGTTTCCAAAGAAAGTGACGCTTATGAAGGAAAAAAATTAGGTAGTCTAATTTCTAATCTCTGCTGCAACATTTAAGTAGAAAATTCCGATATGAATGAATAATGGAGAAAACATTCTTAATCTCGGCTCGAGACAGAACTGTTTGTACGATCAAATTTGTTAAAGTTTGTGTTGACGTTATTAAGCACGAAAAGATGATGTCATATCTTAATTCTTAATCGCGATGGAATGAAAAGAAAAATCATTGCGAAGACAAGAAGGTAAGAAAGAAACGGAAGGTGCAAAAGTGAAAAGAAAGTAGATCTATGTTAATACAAGAAAGATTCAGCTTTTATTGCTACTTTATGTTTGTAAAATTATGATAATTTTTAAACGTTTGTATTTACTCTGTCATCTTTTCCAATATGGCACGTAAAGCAGTACAGAAAGAGAGAGCATTCGATAGGTACTGAAACGTTATCGATCTGTTATCTATAAATTACCATTGATCAACTCGTTTATCACGATCGAAGGATT